ATCGTGACGGGATTTCTTTGAGTCTAAATTAAACGTTTTCATTCGTGATAATAAGCGGCAAACCTCGAACTGAACTTAAAATTCAATGGTATAACACCCTTGAACCAAAGAATGCCGCCAGGCGTAATTTCCGAGAAAGCTGAAAGAGATATCTCGGTCGCTTTAGCTAATTTCGAAAAATTTCAGCAACATTAGCGCTGGATGAAAAAGGGAACAATTACGTATCAATAACTGATATCCTTGAACTCGCGTGTTAATATTTGTTTAAGGCCTCATATCTTTGTCGATCGAACAAAATGTTATTGAAAGTGCCCATTTCAGAGCCCAGCCCTTGAAGAGCTGTTTACACTACAGATGAAGTCTGAAACTTTCCTCGAAATGTGACCTCTTCGAGAGATTAATCCGGTGCGTAAGCCTCAGTAAATCATTTAAAAAAATTTACGTTCAACATACAAACTGTAAACAAAGAGCATAAATAGTAGAGGAATATTAGATGAAACTGTAATAAAGAATCAGAGAAAACTGTAGAGTTTACCTCCACAACGAGGAAAAAAATCACTGAGAAGCAGCGGAAAGACCTATGGCATAAAATACAAAAAAAACATGTGAATTCTTAACAGCGCAATCACTGCTCATTCGTGTTCGGCTTAAAACAGTTCGCTAGTAACTGTACGCAAATTACAGTTCACTTACCAATTTCAAAACACTCGCTTTGTACAATAGCTCAGAGGCCATTTCAGTGCCATGTAGAGATTCCAACAATTTCACTTTGGTCGCGCTGAATCGTGATCTACCCTGGGTAAGAGAGAAGTTAAAGAATTAAAGCGAGGGTGAAATATCAAGCCGAGAATGCGAGTCCCCCTCAGTTTTCTGCTAATATATCTTCATGAACTGTTGCCGCAGGGGTTTTGTTGAATCATCGCTCACCGCACCACCTGTCTTAGCACTGCAGACAATAGACAAATCTTGCGTCAGAATTTTTAATCAGCAAAGGTTTCAACTAAACCCAAATTTTAACAAAGGAAGACGAAGAAAAGAATTTCTAATAAAGGCAGCAAAGAATTAACGAATTAAGAACGCTCTCCAAGCGGGTCATTTAGCAAAAAGCGAATGTTTTTGTGAACATGCTTCATTTGAAAACAGCGCGTAGACTAGGGCGCGTCCGATGTTGCCAAACTGGATGAAGTCAGAATGGCGACTCTCAGCAAAATGGATTAATCTTCTCAAATTAATAAGTAAAATCTTAATCAAAGCTTCACAGTTCAGCCTTTCTTTTTTTAAAAGAAGAATTTAAACCCAAGCATTCTGCGATGACGCCTTTCTAAGTAAACATTTTGACTTCTCTATGAACCTTGTACCAATTAAATCAATATTTCAGCTTTATGCCTACCTGCGGGGCAAAAACGTCTGTTGATCGAAGATGAAAAGAATGAAAACTGTACGCCAGTTCAACTGGTTTTGCTAACGAGCTCCGAAACCCACGGTTATTTATGTGCAAACAACAATGTCATCGTAGATGTTAATCAATCGTAGCAACTTCCTTTTTGTGATATACTTTTTCCTTGTCAAAGTTAGCATTAGCAATTTTCTTGTTCTCCTATGACTCTTTAATTAAACGTCAACGAGTGACCATACTTTCATCTCACCACATTTATATTCATTTGGAAGCAATTATTAAATTTGACTGATCCTTGACGTGAACAACCCACCATTAGTCACGAAAAATTTATTCCATTGTTCTTGCTGTTAGTTTTTTATTTTTAATCTAGATTGCCGATCTAAAGTTGTGAGACCAACGTTTACTTTAAAACTTCCGGTTTGACATTTGAAGATAGCTTGGCGAGAAAGACGCGAAAACGTGCGGCTACTGAAATCTCTACTGCTAGTAATTAGGTTTATCTGTATCTTTCTTGACTCTTCGCTACTTTATGGCCTTTGTTGGGAATATATGTGTGAATCAAATTTTTAATAGCAAAATAAGGGCACAAATTATCTTGACGCACACTTTTCTTTATTGTCTCAATCACATCGGCATAATTTTCCATCCACGTTCAACCGAAAAAGACAAATGATAAACTTCCCATTCAGAGCTATATTTGGATAGTCCACAATTGCGGTTATCCGAAGTACTCTGTGCCAAAAGGATTGAATAGTTGCCTGGATAATACAGTACGGTAATTCGCTTGTTTTAATCAATGCTCGTCAAGGAAGTCGGTACGACAATTGGAGGAAAATGATGCATTAAGAAGTGAGTTTCGTAGATTTGTACGCAACTCTACGTCGTCTGCACCAAATTACTCAAGTTACAGATCAATGGTTTTTCAAGCACTCATACCCTTTGATACGTATTTGCCTTTTTTATTCGTTCTGCCTCTCATGCACAACTTTTCCCCTCTTTTCCTTCATTTCTCCGCTTTTCGTTTGAATTCGAGTCTCTTGTTTATATGAAGACTGTAATCCCACGCAATGCCGACGCGCTCTTTCCTTCAGTGACTCAATTCAGCACGAATGAAAAGAAAAATGTTTATCTAATCCCTACTAATGTGCACGTTGTTGGGTCATTGAACGTTTTTTTCTCAGTGGTTATTGGTTTTATAATAAGATTTTTGGGCTAAATTTAGAAACCCGCCTCCTTAAGCATCAGATGTCAGATGGTTTCCAAGAAAAGTACCCACCGAAGTGAAGTTATTGCCCATCTCACCAATTACGCTATTCCATCCTCTGAATCTTAAAATAGCACTGAAAAAGATCTATAGGTTTCGACCCGTTGAACTTGCACCCGGGAGCGTTTTCGAAGCTTCTAGAAAGAGTTATCACAGATGCGTGATTCTCTTCATCGCCGAGTTGAGCTAAAACAAATAAATTAAACGACCAATTTTAAGTAACTGCGAGCTTTCCGTCTGATGATATGGAAAAAGTAAACTACAATAAAATTTGTAAGGCTATCATTCAGTCGCTTTGCCGCAAACGGCACATTTAGAACTGTTACTTACGGAATGAAATTTGCCCTCACAACTTTGATTCATTTAGTATCTATACCTGGAAGGATTTGCATATCCTTTCCGGTTCGACATCTTGTAGAAATGTTTCGAATGCCTTACTTCTATCACTTCCTGATACTGCAAATGGTCTTAATCGGGTTATAGCAGAATGCTTTTCAAACAAGTTGGTTCTATCAATCGAGTTGATGTAAATTTGTCACCGCAAAGAGTTTTAAAGACTGACATTTCGAGCGTTAGACCTTCGGTAGAGTAAATAATGAAATCTTTTAATAGTTGGACAAACGATCGTGGCGAAAAAAGATACGAGAGTAAATTAAAGGACTGACAATCCATGCGCGGGTAAAGTTATACAATCTGACATTACCTCACTTGTTACCACGTGACAATACTCAAACTGAATGGGAAGACGACTTTCCAAGTTGCTAATGGGTACAAAGCATTTAAAACTATGGAGCTGTTGTTCCCCCGACGAAAATGCTGCAGTTATGCAACCGTTAACACTCGGGTTCCTCACAATAACAACTGAAAATCTAGTAGAATCCATGCTGCGTATAAGGTATTGAATCAATATACTTTGTTTAGCAATTTTGATTTTGTTTTCCTTTACTTTTCAAATTTCCGTATTTTGTATTCCATAACAATTTCTCCACATCGATTATGTGACTGTCTTTAGGGCTGCCAAGTCTAAATGTTTTCGTTTAAATCTTACCTTTAATATCAACGTTGTTATAGTCTTTATAGGCGCACTGTATACTATTCTGTGGATCACCATCAACGCCCCCCTTTAAATTATAAAGATTAAGGTTATATTTAAACTGAGACCGCATCCGCTGTCTTCAGTATTCACAACAATCTAGTAGCTTACTCTAGAGAACAATCAATGCAAATACTAAGAATACAAAATATAACGTGCTTTTCAAAACATATTTTTAGCAGAAGCCATCACGGAAGGAAGACCTCCAGCTGAGCTTCAACTTCCTTCCACTCAAAAATTTAAAACTCACTGAGCATCATCACATCGTCTAATAGTTCACTGAGATAACTTTCAGCTTAACCTTTCCTCTTTCACTCTGTTTGTTTTGTAACACATGCGCATCATAAAACAGACCTGCAAAATTTCGGATCTCTACCAAAGTGGATTGAGAAATCAACAGAAGAATGACAGCAAAGGTCTCAAAACAACCTGGCGACTTTCAACCAATAAAATTGAAACAATAAATTCATAAATGTTTTATTCTCTCGCTTTATTTTTGAATTTGATTTTGAATAATACTTATTTCTCAGACACCAGGAGGCAATAGCCAGAAATAGATAATTTGTTTGTAAATATCCCCCATATTGAATTTCCAACACTTCTTTGCAGCCCATATAAATAAATTGTTCACAGAATTGATTGATTATCATAGAAAGGTATCATCTTACGTATGTTCTTGGGGATCCTTTTTTCATCGAGAGTCATTTTTGTTAAAGAAAATAATAATAAAGCAAAATTCTCTGAGAACACTCTCGTCGAAATGTAGGGGCATAATTTTGTGGGTCAAGGGCCAATCAGGATTTAACGATTTATTAGTGGAAGCAAATTTCACCATATTTTTTTTCTTTTTTCTTTTTAACGGATACTAGAACTTGGTTGCTACACAACCAAATGCAATGCTATTTCCGACTAATAGCAGATTGAAATCGATTGGGACAACTTGGAGGTTTCTACTCTTATTCCTGTAAGAGTCGTCTCTTTATGATTCTTATTACTAAAAGCTTTTAAGCCTTCGACTCCTAGAGGTGATTAAAATGGAATTTCTCCAAATTCAACCCAACACTTTGTCCAGCAAATGGGTGATAGGAATAGACAAATTTATAGGCAAAAGGGCGCCACTTTGAAAAGGAACTTATTTCCATTCACTTGTTTGCAGGAAATGTATAACAAACGGATAGGGAGAATTACTGATCAGATCTTTACAACTAGTACAGTGTATTACACTTTTGGACAAGCATCACCAGCTATAACAAATGACGATGGGCCAGAATTTCGGCCGCCGTGAGCGGTCGGGCGTCCTCTGAAATCCGTCGTATGGGCGGCTGCGTGAGACTCTCACGGGTGAGAGTCAGTCTTGGCTCCTTATTGCTCACATTGTCACGATATTTTGACAAACGAAGTTCAAGTTCTGGTGCTCTTAGCCTCGATGAACTATCAAATTCCTTCGTGGAGTCACTTGAAGACTCCTCATCTATATCTGGGACAACTTGTGCAGGTTCACTGACTGTGTTAGTAAGATACCTACTGAAACGAAAAAGTGAAATTTACAAAGGATTCTTTTTTGTATAAATACTCTCTAATTGGAAGGAAAAGGTGGGCGAGGGAATGGGGAAGAGAGCCCAGTAAAGAAGGGTTAGGTTTCTATAGCGCAGTTGTAATGCGGCCAATTTTCTTGTCACAAAGGGCAGTTCAAGATATGTCGGTGCCAAGTGAGAAAATTCACCTTAAGGCGTCAAGAAATGCTTTTTTAGATGGTAATGGAAAGTAATGACGATTAGACGATGCGTTGGGAAATGGGAATGATTCGTTGCCTTTTCAATTTTAAGAGATACTTCATTTGGTAATCTCACCAACCTCATGGCACAATGAAACTACAATCATTTTGAACGCTGCAAGAAGGTTGTTGCTCTTGCAGCACCAGGAGAAGCGATTCTTTTGCGATGAACTGTTACTGATTTACTCACCTTGCTGTCATAGTGTTCCTCAGGAAATCCAACACACCAGAGGCTGTAAGTCTCTTTTGAGGGTCTAACATTAGCAACAGACCTATCAGTGACTTGGTGTTATCAGACACGCGCCCGTCGCTGAGGGGGAATTGAAAAGGAAAACATTAGTCATAATCACTTTGTTGAGCACTAGTTTCATGGACGCGTCCACACGTGGTCTTGGACACAGTGAAAGGGAAGTGGACTCTAGCTCACCTACTGTACACGGAAACTGTTACTTAATATGAAATGCATGAAATAACTCCGTCCTTAACCCTCTAACCCCTAAGTGATCTCTAGTTAAATTCTTCCATCAATAATCCATTGTTAAATTGTTCAGATGGAACGAAATAATCAATTTAGGGGTATAGTTGAACCCCGATAACTCGAACCCTCGATAACTCGAATTTCCCGCTAACTCGAAGCAAAACTGATTTCCCTTGGATTTGCCTCATGCATATACTGTAAGTTTAACATCAATAACTCGAAACTCCGATATCTCCAATTCCCGATAACTCGAAGTGATATTTACTTCCCTTCAGGTACTTTTTTGGTAATTTTACCCTCGATAACTCGAAGTCGATTTTCACTTTTGCGGATTAATGAGCCATAACATTTTGCACCGGAAGAGTACATTTAATCTCATCCATATATTATGACAAGTTACCCTACCAACTGTTACTCCCTTCTCGCTTAATCTGCCAGGTTTTCAAAACAAAATTAAAGAATGAGAAATGGCAGAAGGGGATGGAAGAGGGAAAGGGTAAGGGTAAGGGGAGGGTGCTACGTTTCCTGAGACCCCGAAGGGCCTTTCTTCCCAATTTTCATGCAGCGGTGATCTTTTTCATTTGCACCCAAATATTTTTGCTTACTCAGCTGATTGAGGTTGCAGAGAGACTGTTCATATTCTGACAATGCCAAGAACCTCATAGCATCCAAAGACTTTTTAACTTATTCATATTTAATAAAATATTATCAAAAACTGTCTTTTTCTGAGACGTTGTGAGGCTGTGAATAAGTGAATTTTCCACAAAAATATACTCACTTTGGAAGTACAAACTCTGCAGTTTTGATCTTTCTGAACAGCTCGTGAGGTATGCTGTCATAGAATGGAAACTGACCGTACAGCATGGTGTATAAAACGACTCCAAGAGCCCACATGTCACTTGCTTTCCCTGAATAAGGAGCCCCTTTAAAAAGCAAAAGAGGGAGTTCAACTTTTTTGCTCATCGTTAGCATTCAATGAAGGTAATAGCTTTGGATTAAACTCTCCTTTTTCGGGCAGAAAGTGAAGGTGAGTGAGTGAAGTGATAAACAAGATGTCTTGCATCATAATGAGGTATGCTGTTGACTAAAATTTAAAAAATGCATTATGACCATAAAGTTTAGTCTAGAGACAGACAGACAGACAGACAGACAGACAAAGAAGTAGAAGGCGGAGGAGTTTACGTTAAAAGGATAACGACTTCTCTCAAAATTAAAATGCTAATAAACAGGTGTTAATAAATACCAACTGGTGCAATAGACCCCTCCCTTAAACAGACATTTAGAGTCAGTCCTTGATATTTGAATTCTTTGTTGGTTTTCTTACGGCTACATTGTACTTTATACGGATACTTTTCTGAGGTGGGCAGTTGGTACCAATCACAAGAGCATGAGTGTTACAGGGAGTTGATCCGCGTGAAAGAAACATGAACTAAAGATGTCTGGACTATATAGTCAAGACAGTGAATGATCTTTGTAAGGTCATGATTCTTGCTCGCCAGGTATTTTTACCCCAATGTCATAGCATCTAGTCAAGAACATCAATTATTCTGTCCACAAAATGACGATCTCAGAGACCAAAGTGAGGTATTAATAAAACAATTTCACTCACCACTAAGAACATCTGGACTAATGTAAGCTGGACTTCCTCGCTGGTCTTTCAACAGATCATTATCTCGTATAAGATGCTTCCCCAGGCAAAAATTTGTAATTGTTATTCTTTTTGTGCTAAAGGGAATATTCAAGCAATCTATGTTAAACTCTTCAAATATGGATAAGAGTGACAAGACAAAAATCCTTATGAAATTATATGGAAAAAGGTTCCTTATTTATCCTGAGAAATCAGGGGGTATATTGAACACTTGTTGATGTTTCTATGTTGCTTGTGTTGATAACACCAAGTCACACTCAGATCTCTATTAGCCTTTTGCACCCTTACATCAGTGTTCACGTTCTCCACAATTTTCTCTATACAATTTGCCTTGTTTTACAATCAAAGCTTCTGAGAGTGATGATGATTTCTCATATTCTCATAATCTTTGTGAATGTTTCAGCTGTACTGATGTAAGGTGAAATTAGATGCTCATAACTCCCAGGGTTTAAAGGGTTGCTACTGACAAGAACATACCAACAAGTACATCTTGTCACCAGCTGAGAACATTCCAAACCTCTATATAATTAACAAGCACTCACACACTTGATCCAAAGAAGCAAGCTTCATTATAGACAATTTATAAATCTATCTAACTATTTTCATCAAGCAAATATTGCATGAATATTAACAATATTGATTTTAGATTGTGCTACATCAAATACAATCACACTAATTATAAAATGATCCTGCTCAAATGGGCCCTTTGTCTGAATGACCAAATTATCAATTCAATAGTGAGTCAGGGTTTTTTCCAATTAGGTTTAAAACGTTTCAATGGAATTGTGGCAGTAGTTTGGGAATTGATAAGGCCTGACTAATTTAGTTGCAAAAAGGTATGGCTGATCTGATCGGACTGATGTTAAGATTACTAATTCACATAGTTTGCAAATAATGGTTACCTTCTATTTAGCACAATATTTCCAAGTTTTAAGTCTCTGTGTACTATGTTTCTCTGTGAGGAAAAAAAGCAATCTTTTAATATAGAACACTGGAGTCAAACTATGTGTATCTAACTATTGGCTAAAACAATTACAGCATTAATGTTAACAATCTAGTTCAGTTTGCACTTGTTTCTTAAAAGGGCCATTTTATGTTCTATTCATAGGAGGATAAAAAAAGGAAAACAAAATGAGTCCTTTACAATCAAAACCAAATAAATCAAAAGGGCTAATCATAACAATGAAAGTATCACAAAAATTTAATGACAACTCCAAGTAAAAATAAGCAAACTGCCTGATGTGCAGGAGAGATCAAGCAACTGAATCTCAGGTTTAGGTTTACACCTGTGGGCAACTAAAACAGAAATGACTTAACCTAATCACTTTCCCTTTTGAGTTTATCAATTGCTGTAAGTTTGCCTATGCATTCAAAGAAATCTCTTGTAACAAAGTACATATGTAGATGTATATGCACATATTACTTGTAAACCCATTTTTATTAAGCTTTTAACTCCCAAGATCTGACTACTTATTCTCCCCTCAAGCTGCTACACTTTTCATTGTGAATCAGTTAGGAGAATTTGGTATTAGATATAGGTAACAACTTCAACCTGATAAATTTGAGTAACTTCTCATCACCTGTTTGTTGGATAATGAATGGAGATTGTAGGGAGAAGTTACATGTTTGTTAGTTCTGGGAGTTAAAGGGTTAAACCTTGAACATTTTCACTCCCAAGATCCCATTAGTGGTTCTCTGCACCATCTGCCATGTAATCCTTATGATGTTAGTTAGTTCTCAGAAGTTGGTATAGGATCATCTAATGATCTCTCTATCAATATTTTTCTTTACTCTCATTGCTTGCTTGCTTGACATTGTATTGATATCGAGAGAAGAAATTCTCGCTTGGTCTCTTGTGGGAGTTAAATGGTTTATGGCTACTTTCAGGGGTGTTAGAGTTAGGATACAATGTACCACAAAAATAGTATTCAATATTTTGTGGAAATTAACTTAATATAAAGATTTAGCCAAGCCTAAAAGCGGAGCTCGCATTTTTTTTCCCACACGTCTCTTCAACAAAACTATGGATAACATACATGTATCAATGGATTTTCATTTGCAACTTCTCCATGTCCATGTAGAGAACTGATTCTATTATAGATGCTATAAGGTTAAATGTTTAAGTCAGTAAGCAATTTTTGGAAGTCTCAATAAAAAAACTTGCAGCAAGAGGTTGAAAATTTTCAAAAACAGGCAAGAAAATTGTGCTAACTGTTAAAAAGTTTTCCCAACAATATGCAACAAGAAAATGTAAATTAATCTCGAACCCAGAGAATGCGTGCTACAAGCTCCAATGGTGTTGACATGCCTGTGGTACAGTTGGCTGCGCATGCAAGAAGTAGCACCTTGTATGTACAGTTGTATGGTTGTAAGTCCAAATTTTTTTGGCTTGATGGGTTACTACTATTTCGTATAATTATTGGGCTACACTGCGCGTGCTGCAAGCTCCACTATAAATAACTTGCAAACCGATGATATGTTACTCTTAGTCAGAATGTATCGTTACAATATAACTACAACATCAAGCAGGAAAGTGATGAGAAAAAGGAAATAATATATCAATTAACCCTTTAATCCCTAACATCAGTAGGCATATTCTCCATACTGTTTTCTAGATATTTCCTATGATATTGACAAGGAGAATTTGTTTAACAATCAAGATCCTCTTTAGTTGGTGATCATTCCTTTATTCTCATGGCCTTGATTAGCAATTCAGGGGTTATATTGTAATGAGAAATTAGATGCTAGTCACTCTTAGTGGTTAAAAAGGTTAAGTGGCCACCCATGGGGAATGGTGGGGTAACTGCTTACTAAAGGCTGGCTGTTAAATACAGGCTCCACAAACGAGGGGTAAAATTGAAAACGACAGAAAACCCTACCATTTATGCCATAATTGGCCAGTTAGAGTAAAAACATGTGCTCAAAAATACTACTAGCACTGATTTTGAGAGAGGGTTAAATTTTACTTGAAAGATTATTCTTAGTTTTATTTGAGTGGTTCTGCTTTAAACCTTTAACTCACAGAAGTAATTAACATAAAACTTCTCCCTACAATATCCATACAATCTTCAGCAAACAGGTAATGAGAATATTCATACTTATCAAGTAGAAGCTGCTATCTTGATCTAGCACCAAGTTCTCATAACTAATTTACAAGGAAATGTGTAGCAGCTACAGGGGAGAATTAACAATCATATCTTGGGAGTTAAAGGGTTAAGTGAATGTTTAGTACAGGTGAAATACAATACAAATCCACTGCTGGGACTCACTCAAAGGTGACTGCAATTGTACAATAGAGGTGACTGCTCAATTAAGGTGAAAATTACAGTGATTAAGGTGAAACAAATTCATAACCTTGACCACTGATTGCTTTATAGAGTGTGGCTTGATACAGGTTTGACTTATCCAATACCAAATTCTCCAAACAATTATTGTAAAATGTTTATGGCAAACAATAAAGGAAATTACTGACGAGATCTTGAGAGTGAAAGGGTGATAAGTGCAGGAAAGTGAAGGAAAGTTCACATGTCAGCCCAGCTACTAAAGCTTAACTAACGTTCAATGAACAACCCACAAAAGCCTGTTTCCAAAACTTCAAAATTATATGTTAAACAACAGATCTCAGTGTAAGGCTTTAAGACATTTGTGGGTTTACTCCCCAGGGTTTTGTTAATTGTTTTACACCGGATCTTAAAATATGCATAACCTTGGCCTTGAATAGAAAGAAAACCACTTTTTACCTGAAAGGTAAAATGCGACCCTGCCAACAGCTGAAAGAGTAGGCAGGGTAACTTGCCTCCATAGGGCAAAATTTCGACCTTATCTTTCCAGAGTTAAACAGCCCACTCATTTAAATTCATTTCTTATTCTATTCAATACTAATTTACTGCAATTCTACCAAGCAGAGACCCCAAAATATTTCCATTTCCTGAATGTTATTTTAAAAATATTTCATTTTCTGTTTGAGCACATTTTCAGGAAGGTTAAGTGTTAGATGATTGATTTAATCAATAGTCAAATCTTCTGTCACAATTCTATCCTTGAACTAAAAGCAGTTAATACATTTCGCCCACACCTCCACGTTTCATTGAGCACAATGGACCCTTACAACGTACGCTCTCAGCACCACAGAGTGGCGTGGGAGTGAAGCTCACAGATTTGGTGCTATACTAGCTTGGACTCTCTTCGACGCCTCCGTAGATTGTAAGCTTGTTTTCTAAGGTTTTTTGTTGAGATCGCTTTGGAAAATATTTTACAAGTCGTGTATTACTGAAACCGGAAACGGTCAAATTGTCATCGCTGTGACCTTAATGGGATATTGTAAGCACAAGACGCTCTGAAATGCCAAGCATTTACCTGTTAAATAAGTTAGAAGCCCTTTAATCGATAATTCAAGAAAATAATTCCACTCAGACTACAGAGGAAATTCCGTGATTAGAATACTTATTTAAACCCACGCAAAAAATTTCTCTTAATTGAACACGAAAATACATGCGAAAATGCAAGCAAAGCCTCCACGAATTATTAAAGATTTGAATGAAAAAAAAAATCTTTGAATTGGAAATGATAAAATTACTGTTAAAAAAAAAAAACAGTTCAGTAGGACCAAAATTAACTTCACTTCGATCAATGATAATTGAAGAGGGACTTCGAGCCTCCGATTGAAATAGTAAACAGATTGAAAGCTTTTCCTGGATGAAAAAAAAATCTCATACCATAACAAACCATTACCAAATATCCATTCGCTCTGTATCCTTACCTTATGTAAACACTCCACTACTCTGACGATGTCGTGGAAAATTATAATCGTTTCTCTTTCGGATAACCGTTTCTCTCGTATCACGTAATGTTGAAGGTTTATGAGGTCCGCTGTTTCCGAACTAAAGTCGTGGGCACAGAGGCAATCCAAAACTAAACACAGACGATGTCGGATTCTAAATTGTCTTGCACACGCATTTTGAGAGCGATGGCTTGCCGCTGAGTTCGTAGAATCTTTTTCAAGCGGTACTTCTTCGTAATATTCGTCTTTGAAAAGTCCATGGTGATGCACAACGCCATCTTGATCGTTTAAGAGAGAGAGCAGTGAATACTCCGTGTGTAACAACATTTTACCTTGTTTGTCGTCGTAACTTTCGCGTCCTGGATCTGCTAGGGTTAGAATTTTGATTGAATAAAAGTCATCTGTACCTTCCTTTTTGGCTAAACACTGAACAATGCTACGGACGGGCGAGTTGCCCAACCTCGGCCCAAGTAAGTACGGACCAGCGCGCTTTAGCGTTCCGCGATTCGAAGCTCTAATGAAAGCTCTTCTCGAACTCAATGGTGAACTTGAGTTTGAAGTTGATGAGGACGATTCTCCACTTTCAAGGCAAGACGCCTTTCTTTTCACTCCTGATGATCCTGAGCCGCTGGATCGCATAGTGTACCATGTAAACAGAAACGGGTAGGGAATTTAAGAAAACTATGTCGGTGGCTTGCCAAGTGTGAAATGTTGCGCACGGAAGTTAAATCCATTCAAACAAAAAATTAGTGCCCAGGCTTTCTGGTACAAGATGATCTGTATCAAAACTGGAACGAGATGAAATCTATCGAGTAAGATTTCGGAGAAATTAGCGTTTTCCACCAATTTTATTATTTTTTTTATCGGATTATGCTTGTATCCGAAAGATTTCTTGAATAATCTCCATATATTTTAAAGTAAATAATAAGAAAAAGGATTCGATGTTGAAAGCTACCATTCAAAGCCACTGTTGCCATGGTGAAGACGCTACACGTGCATCAACCAAAATACAATCAAAATGGCTGCGGTTCTCCATCGAACTCCAGATGTTGCAGGTAAAATATTGTCTACTATGCTTCATTATTATTTCTTTTTAGACAATTTATAGCTGGAAATGAACCTACAACAAAATGATTAATGCTACCTAACGATAAAAGTAAAAAAAAATGTTTTTTCTGATCAAGACAAAATCAAACAAAGACTAAATAATTTTAAAAGCTTCGATTTAAGATTGACAAGAACTAAATAATCAATATTAGCCTTTTCCTACTTGGAATTTAATTCGATCAAGCAGACTACATATTTAACTGAGTTATATCTACCTCACTTAAATAATAATATCACGATTAGCCGATTACAAGAGGAAATCTTGGCTAAGGTGAGAAAAATTAGTCCATGAATATTCGAACGGATATGGTGAACAGTTCTTGGGAATGCTGCCGAAAGTGGGTATTAGATCAAGGACTATTGGGTCAATATAAACATCTGTACAATGCCCATAGCGTTACCTGGTGTATGCCGCGAGTTAAGTTGCATGTTATGATTGATTTCTCAGGCATGGATGTACCTTTAAAGAACCCAGTTATAAAACCATATTACCGAGATGGCTTCGGCAGTAAGTCAATAGGGGAGCCAGAGTGGAGGCCACATCCCAGAAACGCTCTCTCTGTGCCTGGTAGACTTGATAACACCGCAAAGTAAGTTAACGTGAATGATCATCAAACATATACTTTTTCGAAGAATTGGGATTTCTAAGCAAGATCATCAGGTATCTAGTTTGTGACCTTATCAACAAGATTTTGATAATGGGCTGAAATTAAGTGCTCTAAGATACCAATTTCAAGCTCTCAAATCAAAGAAAAATTACTTACGTGTTTTTATGGTACTTACTTAGCATGTATCAGGTTACATGCATTCACGTTTGTAAAAAAAAAAGAAAGAAAAATTGTTTGATGACCACCAACTTGAAGATGGCCGAAGTATTGGCTGGCCCAAGTAATCTGCAATGTATTTAATATATTCAATATATTTTTCAGGTCTTAAGCATTTTTTTCACCTTGTGATTATAAATGACAATTAAACATTTTGTTATATTTACAATACTCCTGAATCACATTCACTTCAAGTATAAAATGTAGTGTTAAACATTTCATTTAGTTTTGCATTGATATTGTTTCTTTAGAGGGGGCAATGGTCTTGACTGGACTTCGAGTATTCGTTGTGCACCTTTAGAGGAAGCAAGACAAACATCACGCAGGCCAAGCAAGGAAGCACCACCATACTACAGCGTGAAAAACAGTGTCAAGTCTACAGCCAGGGAGGAGGGTGAGGCTTCAACTATATACACACCTTACAAAAAACTTGCATAATTTCAACAAAAATTTAAGAATAGTGGTGTTAAACATAGGTAACCCCTGGGTTCAAACCATTTAGCCCACTAATTCAATCAGTTACAAAGTGAATGAATGAACAAATTATTGAATAATGAATACAGATGACATATGATCAGGACTGTTCAGTCCTTGTTAAAGTGAAGTCTTCTTTTGAAAGAATTTGTTTTGAAATTCACTGTGTCAACCGATGATAAGTGTTAACTTGGTTTTGTACATCCATGTATTCAGTGCTGGTCTCATGATAGTTGTGGTTCATTGTGTTTCATTTTAGCAGCCCAAGCATCCCACACAGACAATATAGAGGAAGAGAAACCCTATAGCGTCAAGCCTACAGTTGTATATGACACATATGATGATTTTGAACAAATTTATTTGAGAAGACCACTGGAGATATCTCTAAGAATGTCTGTTGGGGCAAAGAAATCAGGTATGTCTTCCAGGATATTCAACAGGTGTATGTAATCTTGTCTTCAAAATACGAGTGTAATTACCTAGCATCAGTTTCCATATTCTTTATACTCTTCTCTTCTTCCTTTTGTAATGACCAGAATAATTTCTTCATCAATCAAAGCTTCTTATGTTGGGAATCATTTTTTTTATATTCTTGTAATCTAATTGAATGATCCAGCAGTATTACTGTAAGGAGAAATTAGAGGCTGAAGAATTGTAGGGTTTGAAGGATTACAGGGTTACATGGGTTATATGATTGTAATACATAAATTTGGGATTCAGCTCTGAGTTTTATCCAAAGAATTGTATTTGGTTATGATACATGTAGGAATCAATTTTTAACCACAGGGTGAAAAAAAGAGTAAGAAGGCTTTTCCATTTTAGGGACTTTTGTAAGGTTCTAATCTTCTTCAGTTTAACCCTTTCCACCCTAACATCAGTATGGATATACTCCATACTGTTTTCTATACCTTTCCTAAGGTGCTGACAAGGATAATTTGTTTATCAATGGAGAGAATATTTATTTGGTGATCATTTCCTATACCCTGGTGAAAAACCTCACAGGATCTTTGAGGATCTTCAAGGATTGACAAAGACCTGCCAAAGATCCTTAAGGACAAGGATCTTTAAAAGATCTTTAAAGGATCTGTAAAAGATCCTCAAAGATCTTTGTAAGCAAAAACGTTTGTTAAGATCCTCAAGGATTTGATAAAGATCCTCAAAGGATATTACAAAGATCCTCATAAGGATCCTTGCAAAGTTCTTTTCAAGGATCCTTCAAGATCCTCAAGGATTTAGCAAGGATCTTTCAAAGACCCTCAAAAGATCCTTTCAAGGATTCTTTCAAGATCTTTGTAAGGATCCTTAAGGATTTAATCAGGATCTTGCAAGGATCCTAGTCAAGATCTTTGCAGGATCTTTTTGAGGATCTTTCAAGATCCTCAAGGATTTAATGAGGATCTTTTAAAGACCTTCCAAAGATCCTTTCAAGGATCCTATTAAGATCTTTGCAAGGATCCTTAAGGATTTGATCAGGATCTTACAAGGATCCTACTCAAGATCTTTGCAAGATCTTTTCAAGGATCCTTCAAGATCCTCAAGGATTTAATGAGGATCTTTTAAAGACCTACAAAAGATCCTTTCAAGGATCCTGTAAAGATATTTGCCAGGATCCTTAGGAATTTGATCAGGATCTTACAAGGATCCTTAAGTCAAGATCTTTGCAGGATCTTTTCAAGGATCCTTCAGGATCCTTAAGGATTTAATGAGGATCTTTTAAAGACCTTCAAAAGAACCTTTTAGGGATCCTGCTAAGATCTTTGCTAAGATCCTTAAGAATTTGATCAGGAGTTACAAGGATCCTAGTCAAGATCTTTGCATGATCTGTTCTACAATCCTTCAAGATCCTCAAGGAATTGAAAAGGATCTTCCAAATATCTTTAAAAGGTTCATTTCATGATTTTGTACAGCTCTTTGTAAGGATCCTTTTTGAATTTGATGTGGATCTCAAAGGCAACTTTGTCAAGATCTCTACCACATCTCTGCATTATGAATTAGGTTCCTTTGAAATCCTCAAGTAATTTCAAACATAACAAAATTGTAAATTGAGGGCTCACTGTTTTATAATTTAAACACATCAAGGAATTTTCGCAGAAAATTATTGTGCAATGAGTGTAATGAAGGTTTGCGCATAGCAACGCCATGCTCGAGGCTTTCGGGAAACTTTGTGACTACTTACATGACAACAAATAGGGTTTTGCATTATGGGATAGGAATTTATACGCGCCGAGATTTTTAACGGTCGCATAAAAACATAAGAAGCTCGTTGTTACGGCAAATATCATCGATAATGGTCGGAACTAAAGGGAAAATGTACACAGAAATAAAAGTAAAGGAAAGGCGTTTTCTGGAGTTCAGAAACAAGCGAAAAGAGAGACAGAAACAACCGAAATCGTCAATCAAACTCCAAGCAGGTCTCGCGATTGCTCTGATTGAGGCTGAATGAAAAGAATTCATTGGTACTTCTGGAAAGAAAATGAAGATGCCATCCTCGCCTAATGATTCTTGCTCTGAGCTCTTGGAGAGTGAGGATGCAAATGATGTGTTACAGGGACAAGGATACAGGCTTATCGATCTAGAGAGATTCTCCTCGACGCTCACTGAAGGACATGTTTCTGAAGAAGGTGTGAATTTACTTGGTTCTCTGTAACCAACTTAAAAAGCTCTTTTAGAGGTTGTCATATGAATTCCCGAAAACACTTATTTTGTACCTCAGGATGTATTAGTTCAATTAATCTGAAGTTTTCAGGGCTGTATCCTCTTACTGAGTTGAGTTGGATAAGCTGACAGTTTCTCTATAAGCTGAATTTTAAGTAAGATATTGTGGAATAACTCACCTAATAATCTCGGTGAACTTTGAACGGGCACTGTGCCCATAATATAAACGACTCCAAAAGTTCCTCAGCTCATCCAAAAGAACGACCCTAGTACTTTGTTTTGACACTAAAAACACTTGATTTCATGCAATCTTTGTGCAGTTATCTTTTCTCAAGTATACCTAGGTTTTTCACACCATGTGGTGGACAAATTGATCTGATGTCAAATAACAAATTAGTTTAGGGCAACATATTAGTTATATTCAGTATGTGTGATTCCTAAAGTTTTCCTTTGGTATATAGGTTAATATGGTTCAGAAATATAGTCATTGAAGTACTCTTGTTTGCCTTTTTTTCATGTTTACCCCCTCAGTAAGAGTAGTCTGAGTCTGGTCATAGTCTATTCCTAGACAAGTTTAACACATATATTTTGGTCTTCTTATCTTTGAGCTGGACTGTTGCCAGATTTTTTGGAAAATGAAAATCTTAGTACTAACCTAAAGTCTGAACAGAAATAGTGTAGAAGTAGTCCTACTAGAAGAGGATGGGTAATTCTCGTTTAGCAATAAAAAAAAGTTTTATCTTCATTTTTTTATGTTTGGTTCAATTTTTCTTTTTAACTTAGTATGAGGATTTAAGTATGCTTATTTTCTTGTCAAAATTTCGAAGGTTCTATAACATTCTTGCTAAGATCCTCAACAATCTTCCATTTCCTTGCCAGGATCTTCAAGGTTCACTGACATTCTTGTCAAGATCTTTAAGGATCTTCAAATCTCTTGCAAAGATCTTTAATTTGGCTGTCAAAATCTTCAAGGATCTTTCTTTTTTTTGCCAAGATCTTCAAAGATCTTTCAATTTATTGCCAAGATCTTTAAGGGTCTTTTATTTTCTTTCCAAGATCTGTAAGGATCTTCAAAATTTTCAAAAAGATCCTTGAAGATCTTGGCAAGAAAATGAGAGATCCTCAAAGATCTTAACAAGAATTTGGAAGATCCTCAAAGAATTTTCAAAGATCTTTAAAGGATCTTCAAAGTTCATGTAAAGATCTTTGAAGATCCAGACAAGATCTTCAAGGATCTTGACAGGAAAATGAAAGATCCTTAAAGATCTTGGCAAGAAAGTCAAAGATCCTCAAAGATCTTGGCAAGAAAATCAAAGATCCTTGAAGATCTTGGCAAGAAAATCAAAGATCCTTGAAGATCTTGGCAAGAAAATCAAAGATCCTTGAAGATCTTGGCAAGAAAATCAAAGATCCTTGAGGATCTTGGCAAGAAAATCAAAGATCCTTGAAGATCTTAACAAGAATTTTGAAGATCCTCATGAAGATCCTCAAGAGGATCCTCAAAGGTCCTCATGAAGATCTTGTAAGATCCTTAAAGATCCTTGAAAGATTTTCACCAGGGATATTCTTGTGACCTTACTGTGTCATGCTGGGGTTATACTGTTGGAAGAGATAAGATGCTGGTCACTCTCAGGGGTTAAAGGGTTAAAGATCATATGATACTGTAACTCCTTATCATTATGTTTATTAACCTTAATTGCAAACTCAATGCCAAAAAAAAAAAATGCAATAAAAAATCCAGCCTTCCTTTTTTATTTTTATCAATTATATATTTGTTAAATAAATTTTCAATATATATTTCATACAAATCCTGATTAATTATTACATCCTTTCAGTATTTGAACAAAGAAATGGTATCCCTGCAGCCTCACTAGGAGATAAGAGTTACCAGGTCCCAGAATACTCATCTGACTTCCATAAACAGGGAAGTACAAGGCCTGTTGTTAACTTTGGGTGAGTACAAACATAGTTATGTGGATTTATTTATTTATAATTATAGGCTTGTGCCAGATAAAAATGGTTCTGCAAAGTGTGCATAAAATGTACACATCTATTTTGTCAGTGGATCAGACCCAATTGAATGCAACTTGACAATATTTACCTTTTGTGAACCAAACTAAGGGTTATAATCAATAAACTCAAAAATTGAAAAAAAAAATTAAGGTGATTTCTTGGGAAGTTATATTTAAATCACACTCGTTTAACATTTTTTTTTTTAATTAGAGGTTCTCTAAAATATGTTCCAGACACCTTTGTTCCTCTTCAAGATTTGCCATCCAGACCAAGGTAAGTCATAGGATGAAATAAAAACATGATTCAGTTATGATAATTTTGAGATTGTTTCATCAAATCAAACTTAATAGTTTACTACATGTACAAGTGATACCTAAATGTACATGCTCCTTCATCTTGTTTTATCTTCAAGAACCACTTTTGAAGAAAGAGAGAAGAGAAAGGCAAAGAAAGAGGAAATTGAGGAGGTTAAAAATTTAGATCATTGGAGACCAGCTGATTTGCTATCACCTGTGTTGCAGCTTCCTGAATCACATGGATGACATACAGCAACCAAGAGTTAGCCTTAGAATCAATTTCTACAATTGTAGCTGATAATGTAAGGTCAGGCTATTCCCTTTAAAACTTTAGTTATTGCCTGTAGCACAGTAGGGAATTAATGCAAATTAGTGGAGAGCAAAGCATAAATTGATAATTGATATTCCACCCAAAAGTGAACTCTGACTGGCCTGTTCTTCTAAACACCAGGTTACAAATGATAAAGGCAATCACTTGTTTCCATGCATTAGTCTCTGTATTATTTATCTCGTGGTGAGGATTAACTGTTTTTGGACAAGTGCTCTTCTGTAAATATACTTCATGGTAATGATACAAAAAGGAGAAAGTTCAAGAAATCATTTGCTGTCACCAATAAACACAATACCACTATTAAATATATGGAAAGTGTACTTCTAGACCAAGGACAATATCAAAATTAGGAGGGAAATAGATTTTAACTGATGTAATTTTTAAGACACTTGTAAAGCCTGCATAAATTACATTTGTGTTATTTGGTGTTTGCAATCACATGCCTGCCTCGGTCACACCTATCTACAGAAATCTTGACCTGAATTGTCTGATAACTTGCATTGACTTGCAGTAGTGACAGTTTTCTATAGATCATTAGCTATAGTTACCAGAAAAGTACATGCAGGTCACTTCTTTATGAAGACATTGGCCATTCAATGAAACTTTCAAATTAAAGAAAAAAAACAAGCTTTAAAAGTTCTAAATTTTCTAAGTCAATGCTCTGTCATTGTTGGAAAGTGTGACTAGAGGGATAGTTCTGCTAATAACTGAACCTGACTTAATCAAAGAAGGGCTTTTTTGTCACCAATTTGTCACAAACTGCAGTTCAAGATTCATTAATTAATACATATTTAAATATTCTTGCTTTGCATTAAATCTGGGGCCACAGGGTGGAAGTAATGTTGTAGGACCAGCTTTGCATAATGGTGTACAAAACTTTCAGTTTAAATTCATAAAGATATCAATTCAAAAAACCTTTCCAAAAGATGGATAAAAAGGTCTAATACCTTATTGCCTTCTATTTTTGATAAAAGACTTTTTGCAAATATTTTGTTGTTGTATAGTTCATATTTGATCCTGTACATATATTTTCAATGCACACAGTATTTGCTAAGAAAATGCTATTTTTTAATACTGAACCACCATGTAAAAAATTAGAATGTTTATATGAGATTAAAAAAGTAAAAGTTGTCTGAAAATTTTGCGATTATTTTAATTTGGGATTATTTTACGTATCATTGGTGAAGGCATGCTCGTTAGTAGCAAAACTCATCCCCTATAAAAGACCCCAATATAGTTTTTTGAGACAGTTGAAATTTTCTGGACCATTTGTGTACTATTGGACTCAACTGTATTTAATTTCTTGCAATGTTATTTCACAGAAATGAAAAAGGACACAATGACAGTAAATCTATGTGAGCTGCATCAATGTCCAAATTTTAGTGGTTGGGAGAAATATGGAAGGAATTTATTGGTTAAGAGAAATATGAGAAAACCTAGAGAACCAAGAAGGAGTCACAGCTCTGCAACATTAAATCTAAGGATCATAGGCAAGCTTATCTTGTACATCATTTCCCTTTCCCCACCAGAGTGTCAATACTGATTCTTCAAAGATTTAGAACTGGAGATTCATCCTTTAAAGATAGGGGAGGGAGAGGGAACGCATTAAGAGGTATTTGCATGGTTATTTGTATTGCTGCTCAAAATTAACCTTCAAATCAAACAAATCTTTAAAAAAAATGTTCAAGTGACCAGCAGTAATTAGTACAGGTAAGAGACCACTTTTCTAATAAACATCATTAAAGAAATTATGTACAAGTTTACAATGTAACAAATCTGTTTATCTGAAGCATTTGTTTCAACTTTAACTGAATGAGACTTCTTCTTAAATCACAGTACAAATATGATTTCTCAATTAAAAATGTGTGTGGAAAATATTTCCAACAATTGCCTGGATATCAGAATAAATATTGAATAGGACATGAATAAAAATTTTACATCCAAATTTCAATCAGCAGTGAAAACTATTTTTCCAAATTTTCTCAATTCTGGGTAAGCATTGTAATAAAATATATCCTCTCAAAATGAATGCTATTCAAAAATTTGATAAAATTTGTCCAATGACAAAAAAACACAAGATGCTCTCTAAATGCTTAATGCATCATCTAATCTTCTGCAGATTTCCTGAAAAAGAATGAAATAAGACTTGAATTTTACTTGATAAATTCAATTCAAAAATATAAAACAAGCAAGCAGAATACACAAACAAAGATAGAGTCTCAGTGCTACAAGGTGTGACTATTTAATTTGCCATGGTGAGTGGGAAGAAATTTTGACACTTGAGTTTGCTGTGAAAAGACCATTTAGGTGACAGTTGTTTGGTGGTCATGTGGCAAGTAATTTAGAATTTTCATCTGTTTTATAAAAGGTTTTTGGGCTGATAAAATCTTTTCTCTACTGAGTATTTCATAGTGTGAGGTGGAACCGGCCACTTGATAAAAAGCTGGAGCTATGAGTCTGTTAGTGAAAAAAAGTTCAATACCTCTTATAAGCAACTACAGATATCAAATATATTGGATGGATCAATTTCTTCATAAGAGTAGGATATTTGGAAAGTTTTGGTTTTGAAAACAGGAACCTAATTAGGTTAGTATGAGCATAAGAAAATTCTAAAAGAATGTAAATCTGGCATTAACATGCAAGTACAGAAATAATGTTCTCTGCCAGGTTGCCTTACAGGTTGACACAATATCAATCACTCTGACAAAGGGCTAACGCTTGAAATATCAGCCTTTAAACTCTTCATTGTGGCCAATTTACAACTGACACAAACCTTATTGTTGTTGAAACTTAAATGGCTCATGTATGTTTGCGTTCTGAATACCTGTTACAGTGTTAAGAAGATTTGTGATATCTTCTGGGGTGTTCATATCTTTCCTCCTTCCTGCAGGAATATGGAGTTGGTAGTCTGGTCCATAGGCCAGGAAATACTGCAAAAGACATAATTTTTAAAATGGAACTATTTACTTAACTATTAAGACAACCAAAGCAGATTTTGCCTTTGCCACAAGTGTTACCTCATGTTCTGGGATATCAAGTGACAACTGTTGATTGAGAGCCACACCAGTCAGATACGTCCAGCACTTTGCAGAATTCTTGACATTGTACCCACCTAAAAAATGAAAAATTCATGTCAGATAACATCTGAATGTAACACTGCTGCCTGGATTTAAGTTATCCCTGGACCATTCTCTTTATCATGTTGTAACATTTACCAGAAGTACAAAGACTTGGTATTTTTGATAGTTTTCATGGGATGATGAACACCTCTGGGTCCCCAAAGAGGACTGGCAGAAACCTCAGGCCTTCCACTTTCAAGGGGCCAGATGACTTACCTCCTCCCAGTAATAACAAAGGCAAGTTCCATTCCATCAAGTATTTGATGCATTCTCCAATGCTATATTGAGTGAGGTTAAAAGAGGCCATAGGATCACCAGCTAGTGTATCAACTCCACACTGACAAACAACTGCGCTTGCCTTGAATCTCTTCTTAACTTCTGACATGACCCTACAAAATGCAATCAGAAAAAATTAAGAAATAAGAAAATTATAACAAATAGATAAATAAATGACAGAAAAAACAAATAAAGGAATACCATGACAAATTACCTTGAAAATATTTCTATGAAAGGCTTGTCAGTAATTCCATCCTTCAGGGGTACATTTACAGTGTAATACTTTCCTTTGCCTAAACCCACATCTTGACTTGCACCTGTACCTGCAAATACATGAAATATTTTTAAAAATGAAATTAAACAGTTCACTCTTTAATGTTTGCCAGCTTTTCGCCCAACAAACAGAAGTATGCTCATACAGCAAAGTAGGAAGGACAGTGATGAACATAAACAAATAAAATTGTAGCATATTACCTGGGAAAAATCCTGGGGAAAATTTATGAAATGACACTGACATCACTTTTGAGGTAAAAGAAAAAGCATCCTCAACCCCTGCAAACAAAATTTGTAATGGATATTTTACTGAAATAAAATATTTTGATGAGTAATGAAGAACCTTTGGAATATGCAAGCTACTTCTAAGCATTGATAATATACAAACCATCCCCATGGTGAAGATCAATGTCAACATAGAGAATCCTGTCAAACTTCTCTCTCAACTTTAAAATTCCTAAGACAACATCATTGATGTAGCAGAATCCAGATGCTTCATTCCTAGCAAGAAAAAAAGTTGTTCCTGAATTTCAAGCTAAAGAAACTGATTTTGCTTTGAAATGATCTTTTGAATTTTATGGGCAGGACTTTGTCCTTTGATCCCTCTCTTGAATCTTCAAACCTTAAGAACGACTAGCATCTAATTTATCCCTACAAATGTATCACCCTGAATCAAACATGAAGGTCATATGAATAGAGGTAACAATAACCAAATAAAACAACTCTAATTGTTAAACAAATTATCCTTGTCAGCACCTTAGAAATGATATGTAAAGATATACAATGAACAGTTTGGAGAATGTGTATAAAGGCTGATTCATCATTTTCCCTCTACTTCTGCTAAACAATCTTTAGTAAGAAGTATTTATTTGGGAATTGAACATGGGGCCTCCCTAAGTGATAACTTTTTCTATCCTCATCACAGGTTTGTGGGATAATGTAGGGACATGGTGAGGACAAGGGTGAACCAACAACTTAAAATAAATATGTAATTATGCAGGGGATGCTCAAAATAACAATTTACCTTGTTTGAAATTATTTTTTTTTGGTTATGGAGCTGGATTAGTTTTGTGGAAAAAAAGATTCTTACAACAGCCACACTTGTCACTATCATACAACATTTTCATTTTTCAAAAACAACAAATAGTAAAAATTATAAAAAAGCAAAAAAAAAAAAAACCCTGAAAACTATGGTTACAACTACAGAAATTTGCTCCTCACACCTTTGGGCATGATGCCAGCCTCCTTGCCAATTGATTGCTATGGAGCATTCCTGTTTGATTAACATCTCTGCAGCAGTGAGTGTACCGCCGGCAATAACGGACATACAATCCAACAAATCTTCAAAGAGGGGACAGTCAAACCCTGGAACAAAATAGAAATGAGTTGAAACAATGTTTTTTCTTTCTTGTTACTATCAGAAGCACTCTCGTACAGTAACTACTGACTAGATCTATTGCTGATCCCAAAACATCAACCATACACAATGTAAAGTATCAATTATTAATTTCTGACATACCTAAGCCATATTCCCCAGCTGTTTCTTCCATTTCCTCATCATTGCAGTTACTTGAAAGCTTTTCTAAGCACTTAACATAGTCCAAAGAGTGAAATGATGAAAGCTCATGTGCAGAGGCTTGCCGAGGTTTAACAACTCTATCAAAAAGTTGACATTCTTGTAAGTGTAACAACTAGTACAGTGTAAATATGTATTCGTGTGTTACACAAATCAAAACAGCAATTACAAATTCTACTTATTTGAATAATTTGTGGGAAAAAATTGCTAAACATGTTGGAAATTTAGGTCTACTTGCTGATAACAAACTCTTTTACCAGATTAGCTTCAAGCTATACAACTCCTCCAACCCCTCCTCACTAAAAAACTCAGCTTACAGTTCATAATCTCTAACCAGAATGGCTAAATTGTCCATCTAATCAAAGGGATATGTCATTGCAATTAGGCAATGCATGTACAGATATTTAAAGACCCTGACTTCTGGTCATGTTATTGTTAGAAGTAGGTGACTGATTAGGAACCCTATCAGAACTTAGGAAGGGAAGCAGAGGTGCAATTGTTTGTGCTCCCTGTGCATGATCAATCCATTGTTTTGTTTGTATATTGTGAATGAGTAAATTAAGAGGATGATTTCATCAGTTAATAACATTGATGTGTGCAATGCATGGTCAAGCCCAGAAAACCTAACAAAAACATACAACAGCTCCTAGCCAGTTAGATCTAACTTGTTTGGGGCTCAAACCCTTGAGCTCACAAAAGGCAGCCCATCATTTAACCAACTGAAATGCTGCTATGATGCTTACCTACAACTCATTACTCATTCAGAGACACCTCAAGCAGGGAAATTGTTTTCTCATGAAAGTGACTAACACATTACTATTCGATTTTGAGAAGATGATAAACAGAAGCAGTGATCATTCATTTACAAAAAAAAATTCAATATGGGTTTTAAAATTAAATTTTTTAAAGAAATTTTTAAGATTATTTGTTGTGAAAAATTAGGTGACATTGAGAGGAGAAAAATTAATTGACCCTGTCATGGATACATGGAAAACCTGTTTCTTGAACAGGTACTGATACCTTTATTTTCAAATTCCTATAATTGAATTTCAGTTTGTGTAAAAAAAATATCTTTATGATTCAAAACAAGGAGGGATTCTTCATTCAAGAAAACTTAGACTAAAATAAGGCTTTTCCTTACTACGAGTGCCCATACATTTCAAGTTAATTTTATCCAAATAATTAAAGGTAGTGTTGATGAACAAGGACATTTAATAGGTAATTTTGATTTTATCAACTGAGTTGATGATTTAAATTGGCCACCGGAAAAAAACTTTCAAAGCTGACGAAGGACTTACGCTCGAAACGTCAGCTTTGAAACTCTTTACGGTGGCCCATTTAACTCATCAACTCAGTAGTTAAAACCAAAATAATGCTGTTACACTCGCCCACCGACGCAGCACTACAGCGTCTTTAGAAACTTACCCCCTGTATTCAGTTGATTTAAGTAACTGTATTTTCCACGCTAATATGAAATTTCAAATTACCTTGTGTTTTCCAAAAGTCCATAGGCTTTAATCAAAGTATGAGTTAATGATGCCTGAAAATAAGACAGGAAACATGCGAATTAAAGGGCTGTTCTCTAGAGTCACCGGTAAGTTAAATTTTTTAACATAACAACGCTGTTGTAAAATATTCAGCGCGGTGTTGAAAAGGAAGGAATAAATTTCCTTACCCGGTTAGGTACCTTTGGAAGTTTATCACAGAGGGTTACTAGGTCCTCTGAGTGAATTAACACAACCTTCGCTAGAAGTTTTGTTGTCCGTTTGATCGACTGGCTGCCATTTTCTCTCAACGCCATCTTCAAACTTGCGCGGGAAAATTACTGAGCATAAAGGTCAACACGATCCCTAGCTAGGGTGGGGTAAGGGTCCATTGGTGAATTTGATTTTGTTCATGTAAGGGAAATTGCTCGAAATCTCGAAAAAAACAAATTTACCTATAGGAAAATAACATATTTGCTATTAAAATGTGATTCATCGCACTTGAGAGGAGAAATCCCTTGAAGGAATGAGCAACTTACCCCTCCTCTGAGGGTATCTTGTCCAAACCGAGGTACAATGTACTGTTGTCGTTTCCGGAGGTTGTATGAAGTTGCGGCTCGCTTTCATGTAAGTTTACGCATTTTCGCGCAGGATTAGAGGCTCCTCGTGACTGGAAACCTCATTCTTTCTCACCAATTATGTTGAAGAGCAATTTTGAGGCGCTTTTCGGTGAGTAGAAATTGTGCTTGAATTGTATATAGTTTACAGCTTGCATGACGTAAATTGTCTGTGAAAAGGTTTTAAAAGCTGTCTTGAAATGATTCCAGAACTCTCTATTTTGCTAAGAATTTTAAAAATATGGTAACTTTCATTCATGAAATTTGCCATCTGTGTTTGTTAGGTTGAATCAAGGTTCAAAAATTGCAGCCGATGGACAGAGAATGGTCGCCGTCAAGTCCTTTCAAGTCCGCCGACCATTCCCTCTCCGTCAACTGAAATTCTTCATTCAACTAGCAAAAGTAGAGGGCATGTTTCGCGAATGAAAGTTTACAGATATTCCTAAGGGTTGTAATTTTCATTCTAGGTTGTAATCCGTCGTTTAGTTATGTTTAATTAACCTTACTTTTAATAATTGTTGTAACAGTTAAGCATGAAGTTACCCACTCAATCAGCACTTTAAGCTATCTTCCACTTGACCAGCTTTGCCATATAAGCCATAAGCTTAGGTTGTTCAAAATCGGTCATGCTAAAATGCAGACTGTAAACTGCAGACTGTGCAGACCATACAGACCGCGCTTTGTTTGCTGGAGAATTTCGACTGTTGCGTCTTACGAGACACTGACAAATTCATTCATGACCTATCACCCATTCGACTTCAATGAGTATTCAATTTCACCAATATTGTGCGGTTTTTCAGCCTGAAAAAAAATTTTTTGTCTTGCCTATAAAGTTATATTTTAGACCTTGGTGGAAATTAAATGGAAGTCAGAAAACTTTGTTGGGAATTGGTTTTTGACTGAATGATAATCAGTAATAATCAACTAACAAGTGCCGTTTTGAATGCTGCTACGTTTTTGGTATGTGCTGTGTGCATGCCTTGATTTACAAGTTTCTTCAGATCTGTGATTCTACCAGTACAACTCAAGTCTGAGCCAGATTAAAGCACTTTAATCACTTTGCGGCAAAACATTATGCAAGTGTGGAAGACTCACTGATGTCAGTATCAAATGCAAACTTCAAATACTGTGGACAACCTTAATCTAGGAATGATAATAATTCCTTTTTACTCTATATTTTCGATTTCTGGTAAAATAAAAAAAAATACTGATGAAACCTCGACTCCTGTCAACTGGCGTATTGGAAATTGTTCTGTTAATTTTCATTTTACACCCGCTGTGCATGCATTACAATCGGAGATCAGGTTGGACACAACTGACATGGCCAAAATTTTCCACTAGCTATCAATCACTCTTCTACTCCAATTTAAAAATCCTATTTACCAGTAAAGTTCACTTTTAACTTTCAGCACTTTCTTTATTGAAAAGTGCTTTGGGCTGTCTTGTGAAGATCCTGGTAATCATTTGCTTCGTCCACACAGCCCATTCCTTACCTTTAATCAGTGTCGTTGTCCACACAAATTACATCTGCAATAAATCTCGCATGTGGGGCTAATTTTTTATGCGCTCTAGGAACTTGAGTTGGCAATTTTATTTTGCTAGGTAACATGAGCTGGAAATAATCTCATAAAAGTATGTCATGTGGTGTCCAAAAAGTGGAAACAGTTCCAACATAACCAAAAGAGTAAGAAAAAGGTGTATACATCTTAATCATATGTAAATCACAGTTTAAAAATAAGCAAACAAGAAAATTGCACATTCTGCATAGTTGCTCGGTCTGCAGTTTATCATAACTGGTTTGAAATGGGATTAACATCAAACTAGAATTAAAAGTTAACCTTGGCTTTACATATAATTTCTTATATAGGAGAGCATGTATAAGAGCTAAGGTTTTGTTGGGTTTTTATTTCAATATGACTCAAAACCAACAGGAAAAAAATGTATAAGAAAAATCCCTTTCCAGGGCTATATATCTGATTAAATTTTGACACCAACCCCAGGTTAGGTTAACACTTAACATTTTTTGAGTTTTATGAATATGGTCACTTATAGAAACATGAACTTTAGGCTAGATTTGCCTGAAGCAATTTTGTTCCTATAATTAGAAATACTGACAAATATTTGAATAAGTATCTTACAATAATGACATAAATATGTAACAAATTCATAATAATTGTTCTCTGAGTGTTGTTTATTTGGCAGAAACACATAATGCTTGAAATCAAAAACTCAACTAAACCAGTAAGGGAGGTTTTCTGCAAACAGAAAATATGTTTAGAACAACAAAATTACAATATACACAAATACAATGAAAACTCACCAACTGTTCGAGCTTAGGGTTTCTATGAACAACGATAATTCACTGTAACAAATATCTCAACATGAACATGACAATTTTCCTTCCAAAAGCACATGGGCAATTGCCTGGATGTTTTACGTAAAACATAGGCCCGCATTGGGAGCTACACTGAGGTAGTAGTTATAATTAAAAAATGATTAAAGTACAGCAGTTCAGCAAAGAAGATACTATGAGTTAACCCTGTTTGTGTTTGCTCAGTCTCTATGATCAATTTGCACTAGAAACATGGTTTGATGCATTGGACTAAGTTTACCTGCATATTCCCTGTCTATATATATTGCAATCATGTCATTGCTCTTTCAAAATCTGTGCGACCCTTTGTTGTTGATATGTCTTTTGACATAAGGGTGACTTTCACAGTCTCTTTTATCTGTGCTGTTTTCTTGGAATCTTTAACCTTACAGAATCATGTTATAGGTGATAAAGAAGTTAAGTCTGTAAGAGATTCTCTGTCTTCTCTCAGGTGGCCTTTCTTCCAAATGTTGATGTTGGTTGCAAGTTATTTTTTAAATGTCAGTTATTGTAATTTTTGTTCTGATGGTGCATTTACACTACACAGGAACAAAATGCCAAAAGTGGTCCATGGGTTGCAACTTCTTTCTTTTAAGAAAAAAAAACGTTTTAAAGAACTTCTTGCTAGGTTTATTTGGTCACATTCTTACTAAAAATGTGGTGCATTTACTGCAGTGGTATTCTAGTGGCAATGACAAAACTAAAACCACTGATGGTTTTTGCAAAATGACAGAGGAGTGTTTAGACGTTTTCTTTTTTTGTTATACAAAATAAAATCACAGAATCCTGAAAAAGAACATTTTACATTTACAAATGAATAAACTTAAGAAAGAAATTAGTGAATAATCATGATGATAGTAATGCTAACAATAATAATAAGGATATTATTACAATAAAAATGATAACTATGATAATGACAATAGTCAATGGGACAGTCCTCTTTATAGTGAATTGAAGGCTTGTGGCACAAATTCAACCTTGGTTTTCCTTTGGGCATCTTTATCTCCAACAAAAGTATTCTGGTGTCACTGAACAACTTTTAGTACTAGAAGATGGAGGGTTGTTGTTGAAAGGTGAATCCTGTTGGCCTTAGCCCATGCAGTTGGTCTGTAAGAAGATTGCAGAGTTTTTTGCCCAGGAAAACTTTTAGTGGTCTGGTTAGTCTTTTCGCTTAGTGAAACAGCTCGTGTAATAGCAGGATCCAGCAGTTGAGGTTGCTACTGTATATGATCCAAGTCAGTTGAGAAAGGCAATCATAAATCATTTGAGTCAACTTCTTCTTTTTTGGCAGTACATTTGAATGGCAGGATTTCAAGTGTTGGCAATGGCTGTGGTTCTGGTTTCTTGACAGAACTGGATGAGCTATGATCACTTGGTGCCTGTAGCTGCAAAGATTCTTCTAAGGAGAATTGGTGTTTCTTCAGCTGAGGCTCTTTCATCTAATTGTGGCATGCCAGGTATCTTTTGGTGGTACTTAGTGTGGTTACTCTGCTCCTACAGTGTAAATGTCATTGACTGCTTTTAGCAATGCTGTCAACGGTAGCAGAAATTTTTTCCACTCTTGAAACCAGTTTCTGAAACTCTGTTTCATTTCCTTTTTTTTGTCTCTTTGAAAAGGGCAATCCTGTTCTGTTGGTTGTGGATGAGCTGTCTATGAAACCTCCTGGTCTTGTCTACCATCTTGCCCCAGAGATTTTGAATGTCACATGAAGGGTTTTAGACCTTTCTTTTCAGTTTAATGTAGATATGCTCTTTCTTTAGTGCTTTCATCTTTTCTTCTAGTCCTTGTGGTGAATTTTGTATGGTGATCTCTCAGATTAATCACCAATTAGTGTGAAGTCCCACTTGATTTGCCTCACCAAAAGGAATGATGGCACTTTTAATGTGCTTAAATCAAAGTGAGGGCTAACTTTTTTTTATGATTTGATTGCTTGAATTTTGCTCAAGTTCTCATTGAAAGTTTTTGCACCATCTCGTCTCCATCTTTGAGTGTTCTGTTTTGGTTTTTTGCTTTATGCTATCCTTCTCCCTGGCGGGGGTAGCCCAAAATTCTCACCACATGCTGCGTGCAACCAAGCTGTAGTTGAGAAAAGATATCTGGCTGTAGATTGCATGGAATTATGTTATTTTAGTATCAATCAAGAGCACAGATATCACCCTCTTTGTTATGATAGTTAAACAAAACGTTTGGCCTCGTTTCTAAAGGCTTTAATCTACAAAAACCTCGTGCTACATATACTTCACAAAATGGCGTCTTCACAGAACGAGTCCGCTGACATATGTGTTGACGGGCACTAAAAGGTATCGGTATCCCGGATTAACAATAACATCAACAATGTAAATTACGAGTACCGGTAAAGTTACTTAAATGAAGTTTCCAATGTTTGACTGTCACTACATTCACCCCTTCCTATAAATTGAGCCTATCTACAGAGCGGCGCTCTCGCTGTGATCTCCTCAATTCTGTGGGTTCTGGTTCTTTAGTAGGTTCTTGCGTCTTATCAACATGATGATCGTTGACGGGAGAAAACTCACTAGAAATATTGGGTTTAACGACTGGGAGCTGGATTGAAGAGGGTGGTTCTAGAAGTTCCACTTGACCACAAGGAGCAAGATTCTTGGTTGAAACTGTTGTTTCTCTGCCATTAGGATAACGAACGTGAGCGTAGTGAGTATTGGTCTGGAGAACCTCAGCTTTTTCAACCAGAGGATCAAACTTACTGTGTCGTACATGACGCTTTACATAAACAGGGCCAGGTTCAGCCAGCCAAGAGGGGATCGAACTACCTGTGGATGAACGGCGTGAAAAGTTCAGGAAACGTTCATGCGGAGTCTCATTCGTTGCGGTGCACAGAAGAGAACGGATCGAGTGCAACACATCTGGCAGGACCAATTGCCACTGTTCTGCCTGAAGCTTCTTTGACTTAAGAGACGTTGTAATCGCCTTCCATACAGTGCCATTGTACCTCTCAACTTGACCATTACATGTGGGGTTATAACTGGTTGTACGACTTGTAGATACACCTTTGCTAGAGAGGAATTCCCGTAACTCTTGACTCATAAACGAAGCCCCTCTGTCAGAATGCACGTAGGCAGGCATACCAAATAGAGAAAACAATGTGGTGAGACACTTTATAACGGTCGGAGTAGACACATCAGGGCAAGGGAAAACGAACGGGAACCGTGAAAACTCATCAACAACATTCAGGAAGTATTTGTTCTTGTCGTTGGAAGGAAGTGGCCCTTTAAAGTCAATGTTGATTCGTTCAAAGGGTTGGGTAGCTTTTATAAGTTGAACTGGGTCCGGGCGGTGGAATACCGGTTTACATTCACAACAGATTGGACAGGAGTTCACAGTCCTCCTAACATCTTCTAGAGAATAAGGCAAGTTCTTGACTCGAATAAAATGCCATAATCGGGTAATCCCAGGGTGACAGAGCGAATCATGGAGCTTGTAGAGAGCATCACTGACGCTAGAAGCACACGTGGCTCGTGAGAAGGTATCCGGTGCTACATTATCTCTGCCTGGTCGATACTCTATGTCAAAGCTATAGCAACTCAGTTCAATCCTCCAGCGCATTATCTTGTCATTCTTAATTTTTCCTTGGTGACGCTGGTTGAACATGTAGGAAACTGACTTTTGGTCCGTTTTTAGAGTGAAGTGGGACCCGGTGAGAAAATGTCTCCAGTGTCTGACCGACTCAACTATTGCTTGAGCCTCCTTTTCTACAGCAGAGTGTTTCAGTTCACTACCTTGAAGGGTGCGGGAGAAAAAGGCTACAGGCCTGCCCTTCTGATTTAGGGTAGCGGCTAGCGCTACATCTGAGGCGTCTGTTTCCACCTCAAATGGAATACTCTCGTCTATGGCAGAGACAGCAGCTTTGGCAATGATCCTCTTTAAGTCTTCAAATGCTTTCTGTGCTTCAGAAGATAAAGGAAATGATCTACAGCTGGTTATGGGTTTAATTCTGTCAGCGAAACAAGGAACCCATTGAGAATAGTAAGAGAAAAGTCCCAGACATCTATTAAGAGCCTTTGAGCTTTGCGGCAGTGGGAGCTCCAGTAGAGGCCTTAATCTTTCGGGGTCTGGACTAATAGAACCATTTTCAATGACATATCCCAGTAATGGCAGTCGTTGAGCAGAGAAGACGCTTTTGCTGTCGTTGAATTTAAGATTCGCCTTTTGAGAAGCCTCCTGGAATAATATGAGGTTAGCATCATGGTCAGCTTGATCCTTTCCACATACAGTTATGTTGTCGATGTATGGAAACACAGCTTTCAAGTGGTTATCTTCAACAAATCTCATCATTTCTCTTTGGAAGCAGGCTACACCGTTGGTTACACCGAAAGGAAGCCTGGTAAACTGATAAAGCCCACCTTTAGCTTCAAACGCAGTGTAAGGCTTGTCATCTTCTCTTAAAGGTATTTGATGATACGCACTCTGGAGGTCAAGGGTACTGAACACTTTGTACTGAGCTATTTCGTTGATCGTGTCACTGATCCTCGGCAGCGGGAAAGCATCTAGTTGGGTGAATCTATTGATTGTCTGGGAATAATCAATAGCTAGGCGTTTCTTGTGATTCTCATCCTTTGTGACAACTACTTGTGCTCGCCAAGGGGACCGGCTTGGCTCAATAATGCCTTCCTTGAGCAACCGTTCTACTTCATTGCCAATGAAGTTCAGGTCTTCTTTGCTGTAGCGCCTGGACTTTGTAGCAATAGGATGGCAGTCGGCAGTGAGGTTCGAAAATGGTGATGGCGGCTCTATGTTCAGAGTAGTGAGACTGCATACCGACAGCGGCGGTTTTGTTCCGCCATACTTGAATGTGACACTATCATGTTGAGACTGAAAATCGAGTCCTAAAATCAGATCAGAGCAAAGCCCTGGCATAACCAACAGGCGAAAGTCTTTATAAGTTTGACCTTGGTAGTTAATAGTAACAGAGCAAGAGCCCTCGGTCTTTGTACTTAACAAAGATGTTGCCATGGAGACTTGGCTGACCGAAGGGTTAACAGAGATAGTAGCTACTTCAACGAGGCTTGGATGTATGTAGCTTTCACTGCTTCCGCTGTCAAAGAGTGCTTCTACACTCCAGACCTTGTTGACAACAACAGTAGCAGTTGATCCTTTAAGAGATTGGGGAATTCCTACAGTGGCAAGAGTAGGTGGCTAGAGAGCAGCTGAAACTTCGCTGGGTTTAGAGGCCTTGCTTCGGCAGACTTTCGCAAAATGTCCCCTCTTTTGGCATTTATTGCAAATTGCATCTCTGGCTGGACACTTGGAACGAGGGTGTTTAGGATTTCCACAGAAGAAGCACTTTGAATCAATTGCAGCGAGTGTGGAGTCTGACTGAGCAGAGTCGACTTGGATTGGATTCTGAGCGGTCATTTCTTGTGCTGAGGCTGCAACGCTGACAGGTTGAGGGGCAGAGTAACTCTCTGAACTGCGCATGGCAGAGTCGAGCGCCCTGGCCTGGTCAAACATCGTTTTCAGATCTAGAGTTTTGTTTTCTAGTAGCCTTTGGCGTATTTGGTTAGAATGTAGCCCAGTAATGAAAGCATCCCGTATATATTCCTCACAATATTTGGCAGCGGTGACAGATTGAAAGTTGCAGTCTTTGGCGAGAGTTTTGAGCGCTTGAAGATATTCGTCTAGAGTTTCACCAACCTGTTGTCGTCTGGTAGCGAGCACGTGTCTGGCGTGGATTTCGTTCGTCGGCTTCACGAAAATATTTTGAAGAGTTTCGATTGCAGATTCGTAGTCGGCACATTCTTCTACATATTCGAATACCGCAGGCGAAATAAAATTTGTCAGGACTCCAAATTTATCGAGGCCTTCTTCCGTCAATACGGCGAGGAAATTTTCGAAGGTTCGACGCCAGTGAATCCACGATTTTGATGCTCCAGACGTGCTTGGATCGGCGCTGAATCTCTCGGGCCTGAGGACTTTATCCATTTGTTTTTTTTTTTGTTTTTTTGTTTTTTTTGTAGATTAAATTGTTATGATAGTTAAACAAAACGTTTGGCCTCGTTTCTAAAGGCTTTAATCTACAAAAACCTCGTGCTACATATACTTCACAAAATGGCGTCTTCACAGAACGAGTCCGCTGACATATGTGTTGACGGGCACTAAAAGGTATCGGTATCCCGGATTAACAATAACATCAACAATGTAAATTAGAGTACCGGTAAAGTTACTTAAATGAAGTTTCCAATGTTTGACTGTCACTACACTCTTAAACGAGCATAGAACTTTTTGAAATTGTAAAAACATTTTTCCCAGTGCACCTCTAAAAGTCACCAATATGTTTGAGGTTACATGGATTACAATAACTTAACTTCAAATTAACATAAGCAGAATCTCCATGCTCATTTAACTCAACTCAACGAGAAGAAACAAACCTGAAAATTTCAGAGTAATTGGATAAATACATCTTAAGATATCTTTTCTCAAAGATGTAAAGTTCGCGTTCTGAGAAATTGAGCTTTAAAGTTAAGAAATGATATTTTAAGATAGCCACAAAGACTCTTTTTTTAGTACAGAAAGTCCACAATTCAGTTAAGAGGGCTCCTACTTCATAAGTGACTCCTTCTGTTTCACGATGGGCCTCTTCTCATAGGGTTTGCGTCAGCCGCTCCGCTTGCTGGCGCTTCTTTTCCTTTGCACTAGCCTGCAGTTCAGATTTCCTCGCCCGTTTCTTGTCCTTCAAAGTAGATGCCCTCTTTCCATCATTTTCTCTCTGCTGGCAGCCCCACTGTGAAAGTGTAATACTACTACTTGCTTATAAAAGAGGAAGTATCCAAAGGGTCTGTCCAAAGGGGTCTGTTCAAGGCATAAGCTGCACTACGCAGTGAGATGAGCCATTAGCCCTCTTCTTCCAGATTCATTCTCCTGAATCCTCAAATTCCCTTAAATAGTGGTAGATAAACATGTATTATTTGAAATATGAAAATAATTGTTTCAGATACATCACTGTAGGTTTTAAACAGTGAACACTTACCAAAGCAAAGGGGAAAAATATTAATAAAGAAAGAAACTAAAGTAAAGCACACATTGCCATTTAAAAATTAGACAGCTGTGTGAAAATGTCTTATAACAAGGAATTACAGAGAAACTACACGACAAAGTTGAAACATTTGGTGCAGAGCCAACCTTAAGCTTAAACTGAACACATGTAAACTTGGCAAAAATTATATGTATCTCATCTTCCCCGCAAACATGTGCACTGGAGAGTGTTGAAGAAAACTTGTCCAGATCTATAAGCCTGTATCCCAGGGTTCTCCCTAGTTTTCAGCATAACAGGTAAGGGACCTTTTCAAACCAGTAAAGAACATTTGCAGCTTCAGGCGGCTGGTCATTCTCAACTTTGTCATTTCCTAAAGCATACAGTACATCGCGCCCATCAAAAATTCTCCATCGAAAAATTCATAATGTGAACGATACACCTTTAGGTTCAGAGGTTGAACAAAACAAAGTAAAAATTGTTTAAAAGCATTGTATTTGACTATGCTCTTTCCAAACTACTTATAACGTAAACTGGTCTCCCTTCGATTTCGGGTGATATCTTTGGCGTCACTTACACGGCATATCGCTGGAAAATCAGCCGTGTCAGCTACGAATCGCATCACTATGAAATCGAATCACATCGAATAGCTGAATTCGTGTTCTAATCATCTCAAATTCATAACTTTTACGCGGTCGAGAGATTTTATTTTCAAGGCTTCTTTCAGACCGTTGCCTAAAACACATTTCAAGTAGAATTTCACGATGAAGACTTGCTTTGTCCCCACGTGTTTGTAAATAAATATAGCCGGCAATTGTAGAGCTGTCAAGGCGGTTATTTCTGGTAATTGGCTGCTTTTCCATCGCTAGTACGTTGTTTTGTTTACCCCTAAAGTTCTTGTAAAGCTTACCAGCCACTCTTCGTGACCTCTTGTTACTGGACAGAAACGACAGTAATGTTTGCTGCCGTTTCATCGTGGAAACTGAACAACTAAACGACACCACATTTGCACGTGCAGAGAACTGACAAATGTTGTGAAATTTAACAGAAAGCCCACGAAAAATCGCTCTTGCTTCGAAATTCGAAAGGTACCAGTCAGTGTTAGCTAACTAAAGCACACGTAGATCTACCATAGTGCACACTGTTGGCTTGTTATTACACTTTCTTACCAGATTAGCTCACCTTAAATGCGTATTTTTTAAGGGTTCTGAGCGTTTGCAGGCAGTAATAAGTGCTCTTACAAGTGGTAAATTTTACCGTTTACCGCCTGATAAGGAGAACCCTGTATCCTCGACCTTGAAACTTGCTCTCTTCATCAGAACTTTCTGAAGAGGAGTCTGGTAAAGCCAGTTTCGTTTTAGACGCACTGATCGGTTGATCGATGTCAGATTCGTCGGAAGAAGAATCACGCGATGTACCAGGCGTTGCATTGTGGATCTCGCTCCCAACGGATATTTCTATTAACTTTTTGGCGTGTCTCTGTATTTCTGAGAATTTTTGTCCTTTTCTCTTTTTCCTATCCCGGTTTTTAGTATTTTCCCCCCGGCCTTTTGCTTTGGTATGTGGTTTATGCGAACTGAAAGAACTCCAGGGAATAAAACAACGTCGAAAACAAAAAGATGCCGTTTGCGTTACCATGGAAACCAAGTTGTTTGTGTTACCCAGGTCGTAAATAATCGTTCCGCAACGGCTAAAAATTAAAAACCAGAAACAATATTGGGCACTGTTGGATCATGCACACTTATCCACTTTACACCTACGACTAACTGGATGAAAGGATAGATCGTCATGGTAACCTTGCTGTCTTCAGCGTATCATGATCTTGATCTTCCACTGATTAAAGTTCCCGTTCAGTGTCCATATCCTCTATGAAATCTTCGCATGCGCATCGAATAAAAAGGGGGGGGGAGGACATTTGTTAAGAGGAGAGTTTCCTTTTAAAATCATCAAGCGTAATTTGAAGCACAGTCAAGACATCTTCATCAAAGACAACTTGAATTTTATCTTCTGCTCTCTGGAGAACGTCTAATTTAGTGGAATTCTTAACGTCCTCCCCGCGAGCTCTTTGCTCTTCAGTTGTGTACTCAGGTGTTTCTTGAACGTCAGGTCTTGGTTTTCTTTCCACAATACATTACAATTCATTATTGAAACATGTATCGTACTGGAGTAGTGACTCGTTCAAAGCTAGTAAACTCGTGTGTAAACAACATGAAAATAATTAAATGAATTACAAACACAATGGAAAATGAAATTATCAATAATAATGGGAAATGGAAAGAAATGAAGTAATGATTCTTATAAATAGCTTCTCAAGAGTGTTTTGGAATTCTGTTAGACTCGCTGAGTTATGAACTTTGGTGGCAAGACTACTTCAAATGTTCGCAGCCGTATGGCTAAATGGCTATCTTTTCAACAGTTTTATCGTAACCCAACACGCATCTTAAGATACATTAATGAGATTACTAATCTCAGTAATCTAATCGATTACTTTGAACTTTTCCTAGGCCACGCATTAAAGGACCGCAGTATTCTAAGTGTAGACAATAAATGTCTTTTATAACATGATCACCGTGTCGATAGCCAAAAATCTTCCTATTCGTCACAAACCTGCGGCCATAGCATAAGCCTTCCTAAGTGGCTCTGAGATGTGGATTTTAAAATTAAGTTTACTATCCAGGGTTACTCCCAGAATGTTAACATCATTAGCAATGTCTTTCTTAGTACTGTCCATGTAGAGTTCATAATCATATTTGCATGGGCCAACGGAGAATGCCTGTGTCTTGCTGTCGTTAATATTAGATGGTTATTTCTGAACCAAATCTTTGTTGACCACAAACTCCAGTATATTTGGAGATACATCAGCACCATAACATGTGGTATCATCAGCGTAAAGTCTGAGTGAGACGTTTGGGATGCAGTAATTTACGTCGCTAAAGTACTAAAGAAAAAAATCTTATCTGTTTCTTTTTAGTATGTCGTTCATCTCTAAAGTTTGTTTGTCCAGAACTGTGCCACTGAGGGAAAGATGCTAGGTGGGGCTTCCTATGACAGTTTGTCTGCCACAATCCATAGTTTTTCTTAGCCAGACAAGAGCAGTCATGAAACTGTGTTGCCAGACTTTGAAATTTTTTTTTACTCCTTCAAGGTTTGTACACATACACTCCCCTCTGCTAAGATATCCAGATGAACTTATTGATTCAGTCCTCGAGACAAATTCGGGAAGATCAGGGGGAGAACGATACGCGGTCCAAACTAATAATCAGAGAAGATAATATCGTAGTTGTTGCAACTGCAACGACTGAAGAGACCTTGTGCCTGAAGATACTGCTGGAGACCTTGGGGTAATTTTAGATGCCAACCTGACCTTACGACGAACATATCACCAAAACTGTTTCTTAGCGCATGTCTTGTCTTATTCAAATAAACGGAATCAAGCATGCATTCGATTAACGTACGCTCTTGACCAGCATTAACGCTCTAGTTTTTAGTAAGCTCTTTCATTGTTCAAACGTATGAGCCAATACATCTTAACTTAACATTAATGAATTATGAGCCATTCAGAATTTCGCCGCTCGTATTGTGACCGACACGCATAAATACGACTATATTTCGCCACTTTTAAAAGAGCTTAACTGGTTGCTGGTTGCAACCCAGCTATATTTACGAACAGCTATCATCGCCTTTAAGGGAGCATTACGGCTAGTTTTGGGTGAGATTTTGGTAGCTTACTCAAAAAATCATATTTAATCAACAATTCAATCAAATCAGCTCAAACTTGGTACACCCAGACAGTTGCCTTCTACTTGACTTGTTTGGAGTAAACATGTTGTTTATTTTAGGGTAATAATTAACAAGTTACTGTGTACCAAATTTGGGGTCAATAGCTGAAATACTCTTTGGAAAAAAAAAGAGGGGCCAACAAAATTACCCCGGAAAAAGCCATTTTCAGAAAGATGCAATTAAAACATCAGTGTTATCTAAATGTCACTTGTAAGACTTATAACTCCCTAAAATGGCCTTTAATGAAGGTATGCTAAGGTGCTTTTGTTCTTTCTCTTTTTGCCTGCTCTGCACAGCTGTGTTTCATCGAAACCTCCAGCCACGTAGGTCATGCCCTCCCTGGTTACATGCAGGTCTTCTTCCCTCTGCTCAGCTTGTCTTCGTGTACGTCTATATTGTTTGTGTTTTTCTTGAGCTCTGTGCTCTGTTTGCTTAATTCTTCCTTTGTCTCTCTGTCTTGCTTCCTTCCAACTGTGCTTGCCAGATGAGATTTCAGCTTTCCTCATGACATCAAATTTTTTTGTTGCACCTCAACTGAAGTGCAAAGCGGCAGAGGATACAGCCATGACAATTCGCTTTCTTCCATACCACTTATGCTTGGGACACTTGTTCCAAGCCAATTCAAAGATAGACTCGTTTGCATTCTGGTGTATCCAGGCAAGCATCTGATGAGGAGTGCTGGCTCACTCAAACGATCATAGATTTTCTCAAGGGGTTCCTTGAAAACACTATCCAAGTGATGTGGCTTGTTTGGACAAGGCAATCTTTTTTTGAACTTGCACCATGAATTAATTGGACAGTATTTATGCCTTTCTTGGTTTGGAATTTTTAGGCAGCGATACAAACCAGCTTTTATCTCCTCTTGCATCTTTCTTACTGCACTATCTCTCTCACTTGTCAAGGCTATGTTTTTGTTTACATTGTTGCGCACAGCTTTTCCATAATTTTTTTTTCAGTTTTTCAATAGCTTGCTTGATTAGTCGGCCATCTCTACTTTTCATTGGTTTGCCATCAGGTTGCTTAATGGAGGACCTTTGAAACTCGTAAAGGGCCTGGCCAAGCCTTTTTTGGACATGACTAATACAGTCCAATTTTATAACTCTCTCACACTCTGCTTTTCCTTGAAGATGGTCTTCCTTCCGTAGGAACCTTCACAGATATGGTCTTGGTACAAGTCATTGAAACCTGCCTCATTAAGTTTTGCTTTCATTTGAGTACATTGTTGACACACTTTAGAAATTATTTCAAAATCCAGGACCTTTCTTGTAGCTGCAGATATCACAAAGCCAATACAGTGTTTGGCAGTGTAGCCACACTTTGACCATGTACCATCGAAAGTCATGGAAATATCTACAGTAGCAACAGCGTCATCATCATCATCATCAATACCTTCCTCAAGCATGGCAAGCTTTCTGGCTTCTGCACAGTTCTTTTGTAGCTGTACACTTGTTTCCTCTTGAAACGCTTGACTAAGGGTCTCTTCATGGCTGTACCAGGTGTCAGGTGACATATTAAAAGGCATATTGAAGACCTCACAAAATTTGGCTACTCCTTCTTTTCCAATTCCACTCTCAAATGTAGCAAATACCATTCTTCTGTTGACATCTTTTCCTTGAAGGGTCCTCGGATTAACATCATCTTAAGGGTGGCTACCAGTTGCGAGAAACTCGGACATGCTGCAACCACTGCACTTGGCATAAAGCGAGCTACCAAGTCCAAACCGGTTATAGGAACTCTCCAATATTTGTATCTGGCCTAATAGATCAATAAAGACAATCAACACTCTTATTAATAAAGCGATATAACTGTGTTAATTCTGGCTCAGAATTGATCCAGAAAAACAGCTTTTAAATCGTAGTTCATAGGTCTTATAATTTAACTCACATAATTCTTATCTAAATTACATGGAGTTTGTGCGTGAATCCTCTTCACAAATTTAAGAAGACTGTCCATTGAGACAAGTCTGTATCCTTCGGCAGGCGCCAGATCCTCTTCGATAACTTCATCCGAGGAGCTTTCATCGCCGTTTGGCTGTAATTTCCTAACACTAAAGCAATTATATCTTTTGCTTGGTAAAGGTCTAAAAATTTTTGAAACCATTTTTTGATTTTGTCTTCGAGGCTAGAGATAGCTTCATCTGTAGTCTAATTAAGTTTGAGATCACCTATAATATCTATGAAATTACCCCAAAGGGTTTGCAGCTTGTGTACATCATGAAACTCTGGTAATAGTAAGTGAAAATTAATATGTTGAAAAAGCAAGAGTTTTTCAGGTCCAGTAAGGTCTCTGTACTCCAACTTCTTGGTGTCCTTATTGATTTTCCATTCAAAATTAATTCCAAATTCTTTTACAATTTTCTCATACCCAGCCATATGTCTATACCGATTTTGACAAAACCCATTTGAAAAAGTAGATACCTTGTCAATGGCATCTTTCCTGCGAAGTTCCCTGATCAGAAGTTCGATTAAATTATCAGATATTCTCAAAAATAAATGTAGTGTATCAATTATTACATGGTCAATAGGAATAAAATCAAATAACGGATTGGTTTTACAATTATATCAGGGTTCGTACCCTTTTTCAGAAACAATTTTCCAGGACTTTTCCAGGACTTTTCCAGGCTTCAGATTATTTTTCCAGGACTCCAAAATTCACCTTAACTCTTTCACTCTCATAAGTATAAAAGATTCATTTCTACTTTCAATTTCAACACATTGTCAGACATACAAATGAGAACAAAGAAAACAGAGAATATCAACTTCTTTCATTGAACTCTTAATATCTCAGAAGTAACATCAGAAATCCGTGACTGATACTAAGTAGAATTAATATTCACATCTTGGGATTCAAAGTGGGGTTAATTATTTTTCAGCTCTTGGAGCTTTCCTTCCAACTGCTCTTCAATGTCCTTTAAGACTGCCCTTTTTTCTTGGCAGATCTTCGCAAACTGTTTGATTTGGCAACCCAAGTAAGGTTTCTTGAATCTTCAGCCCTATCTGCAAATTCATCTGCAGTCTTTAAAAGAGCCTCTATATCAGTTTCAATTTGCCGTTTTTTTCTTCTTCAGCACATCAATCCCATCCATTGCTGCCTTTCTTTTAAGCGTGTTTTCCTGGGACACTTTAATTCTCTTCTGCTCTTCTAGATAGGAAATATATTTCTGTCGCGCTCCAGCAGATGCCATAAGTAGTTGCTTTGAGATTTTTACATTGGCAAGGCCTCCAACTGATTCAATATGATCATGAATAATCCTCTGTGCAATGAACGATCTTTCCGACAGGTTCTCAACTGCCACTTCTTTGTTTACAGAAAATCCTCTTTCAACTGTGGCTTGACCATGAGACATTAGCAGCAATAATTCAACTACCCCCATGCTTTTGCCAGTTGCTTATTACCAGCCATGTGTTCATATAACAGTGTGTCGACTCTTAAAGAGGATTCACTAGGGTCAAAATCTTCAAAGTCAGGATTACCTGCACATTCATCCAAAAACTGTCCAAACTGATATATCACCTCATCACACTCATCAGCCTTCAATCTGTGGGCTTCCACAAGAATTTCAAGAACTCTTTTCATTTTTTTTTTTGACACATCCTTCTTTCTCTGATGCCATTAGCCTTGGATCCAGACAAGACATACTTCTTACTAGTCGATAATTTATTGGTGTTTTGTCAAGCAGTTTAGAGGCTGTTTTTGCAAGAAAATCTTTACATTCCATTCTGAATTGAAGAACTTGCCTTTCACTCAATTTCCCAGATTTTTCTTTCAGCATGTGTTGTGCCACAAAGCCAACATCAACTTTCTGGTAGTCTAACTGCTGTTCTTTATCAGTGGGCTTCAACCTCAGGATCTTCAGAGGAGATGTTGCCTCGGTAACAAGTTCACCCTTGATAAACCTATTCAACAATGATTTCAACAAAGTGTACAAACTGATACTCATGAATGGCAGCATAGGTTTATCAGTCTGAAATGCTGTGAGAAAAGGATTGATCTGTTTTGCCACTGATGAGAAGAAGGCAATCTTTGCTGGCATCAAGGGATCACAGCAACTACTGCTAATGGTCTCGTAAGATTTGGACTTGGGATCAGTAACTTTCTTTGCCTTAACAGCATTAATGTATTTGACAATGTGAGGCCACACTTCCAGTGCTCGCTCGGCAACTGACACATTCTCTAACCACCGGTGCTGGCAGAATTTTTAGGGGAATACACTGCTACCAGTTATTCTAATGTAGTCTTCTCTTCGAGCCGGACTGTCTTTAAACAGCCAGTAAAGACTGGAGAGAGTTTTCTGCACCGTCCATCCAGCTGCATCACAACCATCCTTAAAAGCTCCATGCACAACATGTATACCACAACTGCCT